ATACCGAAGCTACAAGAAGCTAATGATTATCATCATCTTACGTTTCCTGCTAGCTGAAGAGTGTGCATGTGCCTAGGAGTGAAAATAAAATCTTCTGCAGTGATTACAAATTACGCAGTTAGCGTTTCAATTATGAAGACTTCTCTTGTAAAGAAGTTCTTGAAATTTTGAAAAGTACATGAGATCATTTTTCACCTGTAAAAATGGTAGGGAGGAAGAAACCATGGCAGATTACTTTCTGTTACTTTTTTTTTTTTTTTTTTTTTTTTTTTTTTACAGGCATCTATGCATAAACTGAGTGCTACTTGTTCTCTATAATCACTTTCATTAGAAACAACATTTTCTATACTCACCATGAGACCACTCAGTTCCCCCCCCTAAAATTTGCCAGTCCAGTTTCAGATTAGATATTTAGGGTTGTGCGTGATCCCAAACCATTAACAAAATCTACATTAGTCAGTGCTGGGGTCTCAGCACGAAGCCACCTCTCTGAACACTTCTGCCCCAAAGCCCACAAGGAAACACAGAGGACACACATCTGCCATGACCTCTCCTCGCAACAAAACCTACTGGGCTTCATGAGGCAGAGGTGGTGCAAATCAGAGGTAGGTCTGTCTGAACTCCAAACAGAAGTATTTACAGAAAAAAATACATACTAAACTGAATTAGTTTTCAGTTTTTAGTGTTACCTTGTAAGAAATTTCAAAATTTTCACCACCCCAAATTTGAAGACCTGGATCATAGAGACCCAGTTCAAAGAAGAAATCGCGTTCAATGGCAAACAATCCACCAGCCATTGCAGGGGACCTGAAAGAGGAAGACAGCGTAACTCCTTCTGCCAAAGGGATACGGTAGCACTCGGGGAAAGCATCCGTTAAGGAAGCAATTCACTGTTAACATATAATAAAGATTAGATAAATGGCAATACACTGAAAAATCATAAAGCTTTGTCATCAGCTTCCAGAGACTTTCTGAAGTGACATCTGTATAATTACTAGTGAAGTCTCAGATTTTTCTTTTTTTTTTTTAAATTATACACACTTTTGGTTGGAATTATCCATTCAGCCAGCCAGCACGCTTCTATTAAAATCAGAAAGTTAAGAATCAGTGTGGCAAGACGTTTCTCCCTTGAAGGTCATTCAAGTTTCTGAGGTAACAGATGAGACCGTGTAGCAGACTTAAAGCTTAAGCTCTGAGGAGCTGCCACATTGAAACTTAATGTCTATTACACAAGCAACATAGTTTTTCCAGCTAAATGTTACCTTTCTATCTTCTTCCCTCTGGCTCTTTTTCTACCACTGCCACTTCTCATTATCCTCAGTGAAATTTTTAAGAGAGCCTGGATCAAGTTGTATAAGGTTTCCATTTTGGTTTAGTTTTTTTTTTTTTTTTAAATGGCTTTGTACATCCCTCCATGTACGCCAGGGTTCAATTAGCAAGTTTTAATGTGTCAAAAGGACGATGTGGTTTGGATTACAGCATTTTTGCAGAATGGGTCTAACCAAAATTCTTTGGTTGCTTGCTCACACTGAAATAGAGTAGGATAGGTTAAGCCATTCCCAGCACATGTACCAAGCATTTTTCACCTGAGGATCAATAAATATATAAAAATCCTAATGCATAAAAGCTGGAGTCCCCACTAAGCTGGCAATCTAAACAAAAAAAAAAAAAAAAAAGCTGGTAAGGAAAAAGTGAATTCTGACTACAGATGATCTGCACCACTGAAAGGAGGAGGATCCAAGAGTCCAGATCACTCTGGTGAGCCAAGTAAAACATGAGTGAAATATTCCTTCATGGCCAAAGTATTGAGGGAGGGGTCGTTTCTACCACTATTCGGTCTCTCCATTCCATTAGATTTTTAACTTGGTGGTGCTCCTTTTAACAATGATTATGTATTGCCCTTCTGCACGTAAATGTCTGGAGGAGAACTGCTTAAGAAAAAATAACCTGTAGGGTCAGCATATACCCACCTCTGCATAGCAGGGACAGGGCAACAACAAACCCAGAGCTGCTGGGTCTATCAGCAGAGTTAAGCATGACGGTTATCAGTCGAGTTGCTCTCCAAATCACCCGACCAGATGCTGAGTTACTCCTAAACATCCCCTTCTATTTGCCTGCCCACTGCATTTTCCTCCAACAGTGCTGCTGCATTGCAGGGGTCTGAAGGGTGGGAAGCCAGCGAGCGCAGCGGGAAGAAGCACACTGCATACCATAGCCCTGCGGCTTTCCTGCATTTTTGGTTTTCCTCCGCACCATAAAGACTTGGCAAGTGTAGAGGCCTCAGATACTGAAGTTTCAGTCTTGGCCTCCAACGTGCTGTCAAGTGCGTTAAAAACCTCAGTAAAATCCGCATAAGCTCAGTAGTTTATTTTATAGGATACGAAGAGGTAAGCGTATTATTTCTGAAAGAAGGATTCAGTCCTGAGGCAATTCTCACATTACAAAAAGTTTGTTTCTGCACTTCAAGCTGTTGAGGGTTTTTGTTTGTTTGCTTGCTTGCTTTTTAAACTAGGCAACCCTGCCTACGGTTTCAGCAAGACTTTTACTTGGTCTTATTTGCCTTGGTATTGCTGCAACAAGATGCATACGGCCTGGAAATAAACAGATGCAGGGAATGTCTCTTTTTAGAAGAAGCACTGTAACTCTGAAAGTATTATTAAAAATAAGGTACTCTTTTAAACCATTCTGAGAACATGTGTTCTGTGTTTCTGGAAACAGTTTAAAGGATTTTAAGACCTGTTTGGATGGTAAACACAGAACACAACAGTGATGTTTGAAATAGTTTATCCCCCTCTAAGCGAATATTAAAGTTCCAATGTGGACAGCCTTGTCAGAAAATGGTATTATTTATACTGTACACAAAACAGATCAAAGCTTCATAACTTCCTTGCATGTGTTGCCATTTTAGCAGAGAACGATCACGGGTGAGGATAGGGAATTACCAACATCAGTTCTTACAATGTTTAAATCATATATACAAGCAATAGAAGACATTAGATTCTGAAGATGTGAGGATTGCTTTCAAATGCAGTAACACGATTAGTTAAGTGTGAAGGGGAAAGTAATAAAAAACAGCAGAACCACAGTCTCCCAGTCTTGAAAAGCCATCCAGAAACCCTAGTTTCTAAGCTAGAGTTTCTAGCCAGTTTCTGTTTGCTGGGAATAAAACATAACCCCCCCCTACAAAGTGAAAGAGAAAGGCGGGACTTTTGTGAGTTATTGGAGTTTTCCCAGAAAATAAGGTGGTGCTTTTTTCTTTTTGTTTTTTTTTTTGTTATGTGTATTAAATTAAAATCCCCACACATACCAAGACCTTAGAAAATATCTAGCCAAGATTCTTAAACAGTATGCTTCTTTGTCAGATGTGATCTATTACGAAGCAAGTGGGATAAATATGACAAAAGGGATTTTTTTGATGCACATGCATAACCCACGAGCTGTATGCATGCATCAAGCCGTGACAGCAGGCTACAGATTTTATGCATTACTGGCTATTATAAATACTCACAGCATGCTCGTTATTTCAAATCAAACGGTTAAATAAGTGCTGTTGTTTCCAACAGTACTTTTAAAAAAAGTGTCAGAGCTAAATAAAGTTTTCCCTGGAAACAAAGTCATACAGTATTTTATTTTGCCAAACAAAACCCTCTCATTCTAATGTGCACTCGATTAACCACACAAGAGCAGGAGTGGAGAGGCAGCACAAGGTAGCAAAGGTATTTTGAGCACATAGTTGTGGCAAACAGGTCTGGTTAAACAAAGCAGCTGGTGTGGTTAGAAATATGAAGATTTTCAGGCTAGAATTACATGCAAGTTTTAGTGGATCAATATAGACTTCAGAAAAAAAAGAAACGGGTAAGTGATTTAGTGATTACCGATACGGTTCAGTTTTTGTCTTTCTGCTTTCCTTCTCTCGCTTGGTCAAGGGAACCCTCTTCCATAGCATACTCCAATCCCACGCTCCTCTAGCAAACCCATCTTCGTCACCACCCCCTTGCGGCACAATCTTATAAGTGTTGCCATCTATGACATCTATAAGCGGCACAGTGCATGTGGTTCTGCAGGGTGGCGGATGGTGGCAGGGAAGATGCGGTTATGTGCAAGGACCCGCGTGGCACGCGTGCACCGACCGTAGTTCGTGGGAAAAGAGGGGGGAAGGGAGGGAGAAACGAAAGGGTTTAATCAATTATTCATTATGATTCACAGTATGTAAACAGCTCTCTTTACCGATAAGGCTCAGTTTTATGTTTTCGTTTGGACTTTTCCTTGTGGCTTAACGGAATTCGTTTCCATAGCAAACTCCAGTCCCAGGCCCCTCTGGCAAAACCATCTTCATCCCCACCTTGTTGTGGCTCAATGGAATAATCATTCCCATCTATGTAATCTATTAGAGGTACAGTACATGTAGTTCTGAAACATTTATAGAAGGGAAAGAAAGAGCAAATATAATTTCAGAAGAGTAATCTGTCTAATCTGAAATTCACACCATTAATCATTAACTTTACAGAGCAGTTTATATGAAAAGTCACTTGAAAACATATTAAAAAATGAAGCCTCGTTAGAAGAAAAAAAGAGATAGTCCTTTCTTTATGTTGTTTTAAGAGGTTCTGAAAGCAGAAAAGTTAGGTCTGAAATGCTAATATATCAACTCATTTATCAATACTTTCTCCTTTATGTATGTTTCTTGACATCGGTCTTCTAATAAAGCACTGCTGGAGGCAACATAGCAGTCTTCAGAGGGCTAGGGTCCTCACAGTATTACTATTTCCCGTAATTTCTATTCATATCAGACCTTAGCTGTCAACAAGTATGATAAGCTCTTAGCTTTTACTAGCGTAAACATGGATTTTCACTATTCTGTCCTATTCAACTGCCCTACAAATCCAACCTCTCAGGATAAAAAAATGTTACTGGTGCTCCCAGCAGCAGTCTTCAGCAGAATCTTTCCTTTTTGATTTGCAATATGCTCTTCATTGTGATCTATCACATAGAATATTCAACAAAGACATCATCTTGTTATTCTCCCCAGATTTTCCAAATGAGTTTAACAGTGACCAAACTTGGAGCACTTCCATCTTTTAAAGTCAAATCCTACGAGGTAGATAGAAAAAAAAGCGTGCATGTGCCGGGGAAGAAATGCTAACGCTGAGCTCTTTGAGGCAGAAGCGGCAGCACGCTGCACCCAGGGGACCAGGGCTTGGAAGAAGGCTGCCGAATGCTGCCCTCCGGCACCGCACGCCTTCACAGCCCTGGTCCTCCTGCAACCTCCGCCTCTGCAGGCGGTGCTGGAGGATGCCTCTAAAGCTGCCTGTTCTCACCTGCCTTTCTCGCGTAAAAGAGTAACACACACTCGATAGAAGCACACAAGCATTTCCACCTTCCATCTGGTACCCTGGCTCAAATATAGTCTTGAAGCTGAGTTACAGCCTTTAAAACAGACCAAAAAAAAAAAAACCTCTTCAAGAAAGTGCTGGTAGTACGACAGGTTAACAAATAGTTTTTAGGATTAAGCAGTTATTTTATGGGATTAAAGAGTTTAAACAAGCACATGGTTTCCTAAACACACATACCCCCGACCACACAAGCTATGAGTGCGGTAGCACACAGCAACAACAGCATTTCACAACAGCTGGAAGAAATGAAGCCCCTGGGGATCTCCCTCTTCTGTCACCCTTCGCAGATCCCGCACACGCAGCTCAGGCATTCCCACTGCTGACTCCTAGCAAGCCTCTGGGCTTGCGGCAGAGACAGGCTCATGCCCTGGCCTCGGTTTGCTAGAGGCAATGCTCCAAACTGCTTCAGAGGAAACAAAGACGACCATATTGCAAGACCAAAGATGAGAAAGTTATAAAACTCTCAAGATCACGGGGGCTTTAAATCCATGTTAAATTAAAACACTTCCTGCTACTTTTCCTCTACCAAAAAATCACATTTTTCCCTAGCTATTTTGTTTAATCAGGCTCCTTATTCAGCCAGAACAGAACATTTTTATAACAGTCCCTCAGATTGTTGCAAAAGACAAGAGTTATCTTACGCTTAATCTATACTAAGCAAAATATTCAGTATGCCTACTGAAATAAACTGTCTGGAGATTTATTTGCCTGTTTTCCTTCCTCCTTACACAGTTTTTATGCTGGGAGACAGTAAAGTCATCATACAGCAAATATTGATATAGTTTGATATAGATATATATTGATCTAGATATAAACCATATTGACTGTAGTTTGAAAAGTGAAGATTGTTACTGTGACTTTTTCTTGCTAAGAGGCCAGACACTCGAAATAACAGGAGAACATTACCTGTCCTTAGATATAGGAGCTATAAGTGGCGCATACCAATTAATGCCCACCTCACAATGGGCATCGAGGTAAACCAAAACCTTCAAAAGAAAAAAAAAAAAAGTAATTTCTATTTCTGTATATGAGATTACAATGATTTAATTAAGCCTATTTAGACTGAAATACTTTCATATTATAAACAAAAAAATGAAGCTTAAATGAGTAAAATTAATCTCTCTTAAAAACAGCATCAATAATACAGTATTACGTTTCTACACGTCTATTTGAACATAGAACCACCACCACCTCTCCCCCCAAAAAAAAGAAAAAAAAGACAGACTTGTGTGTGAACTGGCTCCTACCTGCCCAAGTTTAGCCTTCTGGGCTCCAATGCTCCTCGCTTGGATTAAACCTTCTCTCCTCTCATTTCGAAACACCTTTACAAGGCCGTTCCACTGCTTAATATACTCATCCAGCCTCTCTTTTAAGTGTGCTGTCAAACAAGAAGGGAAAAAAAGTATTTCAGTGAGGTTTAATAATAAACAGGTTTGCACTCTTAACACAACCCAAAGCCAGCTCTACTTAAAAATATCTACAGACATTTAGGATTAAGAGAACCTGTAATTCAACTGCTCGTATTAGCGCTCACAAACACTAAATCTGAAGAGGTCAAGACTTGGTGGTCTCTGACTTCATGGCACAGGTTTGTCTCTGGTACATCTGAAGAAAGAGCAGGTGAAGTGGTTGGCTGGGTGGACAACTCCCGTCACTTCAGTATATCACATAGTGGCTTTTGGGTCTTTGCCTGTATTTCAACCAGACAGAGAAGTTTCTACACTTCAGCATGTAGTCTTTCCTCATTGGATCATGTCACATGTACAGTTGCGCTTCTCAGTTGAAGATTTCTCTTTGCTCACTTTCTGCCTCACAAATTCTTCTGTCAGTCTATTAAATCTGGAAAGCTGAGACAGAAACCCACCATACTCATGTTATTGCCCTCCCTCATCTAGACCTGTTCCCTCATGGGGTTGGGATGGTCTTATGCTAATCTTCTAGTGAAATCAATAGCAAGAATAATTGCAGGGCCAGAATTGCAGTGAATGAGCTGTGGCTCATCATACCGATGAGACAGGAAACCTTTAGCCAAAGGGACTTGGTCAGCAAAGGGACAAGTAACCACCTAAGAATCAAGATGGGCTACGCTCAAATGGTTACAGATTCCTATTTGCACATTGGTCTTCGCCAAACTAATCTGGAAACCACATTCCTACCACACAATTTGAAAAAAAGGATCTTAGTGTTCCGTAATATTTTTGCACAGATGATTCTGTTGAGAAAACTCACAAAGGCAGAAGGGCTGGCAGTCAGGTGCTTGTTGTTTTGAGGCTGCGCTGCTTTAACTACTAGTGTTCATTTAAAATCTATTTTTGTACTAAAAGGCTCAGAGGAATTGCCTACAGCTTCAGTTTCTCTCAGTTGGGAACCAAAATAAGCCACCTAAGCTGCAGCTGAGGCATCCACACACTGGTCTGCACGGGCTCTGAGGGGCAGCTACATGCCATGCCCGTGCTGCTCTGACATGCAGAGGTGGAAGGGGAAGGACGTCCCTTTCAGCAGCAACGAGCCAGCAGGTTGCCTCAGCAGCAATGTTTTCTGCACCCTGAACGAAAATGATTGAAGCCTGGAGCTTGCTCCAACTTACATTTCAGTATGTTTTATACTCTTGCCCAAAAGTATTTTATAAAATTCTAGTTTAAACAAAAGCTATGTACAAATAATTGAGATGGAAATGGTGTTTTTTGGAAGTGAAGTTTCCAAATGTGAAAATTCAGCAATTCTACCAAAGAACAGTCTTTTGAAACCACTATCTTTTATCTCTCCTCCTCACCTATAAGAGTAAGTTTTCCCAACTAAAAGTTTTGCGTATCCTCTTCTCCGTTCCCACACACATTTACAATTTCTTTTGTAAATCCTTGTATGTTAGGAAAACTTCAAGGATGCATAAATATCAAACTAGAGAAAGAACAATTTTATCACATATGCTGTACAGAATAACATGCCATGTAATATATACAGAATATATATGATATGATAGCTGTGATATAAATTTTTATAGGATAAATTCAACAGTGTTATGAGGTCATATTGAAGTGGTACTAAGAGAATCTTTATACCGCACCATTATTTATTCCCCAAATTCCAAGTACATGTTACAGAAGGACTGTCAGGAATGTTTTAAAGATTTAAATCCTGAAGTTATTTCCAGCTCTCCTCCCTGTGAAGCCAAATGTTTTAGTTATCAAATGTTCAACTATGTAAGGCTCATGGGGAGCTGTAAAACCCTGTCATATTGATTGTGTAAAGCTTTTCTACAGTACAAGTCTCAGGACTTTGCAGTCCATTATATGAAACCATGCCAGGGTTAGCAGCAAGTGCTATTTCCCACAGGAAAACTGAATTTTCCCCCCTTCCCATACTAAAAATACTGCACGACAGTAGTGTATAAAATCCTGATACTTTTACAGTCAGAAATACTGTTTGGCCAGCGTTAAATTTTGTTCACCTAGAACGTGTATCTATGATATCTGTCAACAGCTTTATAGCATTCTGGTTTTTGTTCAAAAATATATTCTACTCTTCAAAAATATTGTAACCACCAATCTGCTCTTCCCTTCCTTGGGTTCTTCTCTCATGTCTCAGTGCACAATTAAAGCATGAGTATCAGTGTTTTTAAAAAACACATCCTTTCTCCGAAAGATTGTAGGCATCAGAGATTGTGGGGGAGGAGAAGAAAAGCTTTTCCTCGACTCATGGATGTCAGTTTGAGAACTAGAAAAATGGTATCGCAAGTGCTCCCTAAAGCAGCTGCCTCCGAGCCCCCTGTACCGTAACACGACTGACGTGGGGCTCCCAGCTCTAACACAAGCACTGGTTAGTGCTTCGGTTTCCCCACTGCAAGCAGAGCTAAATGAGTTAATAAAAATCCTGTTACCTGCCTATGCTCATTACTTCCCCTTTGGTTATCTTACGGGATGCTCCATCAGTGGGAAATATAGACAGTGATAAAAAATAAGCAAACACAAAAGGCAGACAAAGCCTTTAAACACTCAAGGAACACTGGTATTTACCTTGCGATCACTCTTTACAGAGGCATGGGCTACAAAAGTGAGCTGCAGCAGCTGAGATATTGACCTCTATTTCAGAAAGAAATAAAGCCGATGCCTAAATACATAACAAGTAGTCACGGAAAACCCATATACACAACTATAATTGTAGGGAGCTTCAGAAAACCTGGTGTAATGAATTCTCACTGCCCTTCCAGAACACCTGTATCCTCCACACAGCTAGCACTCACAGTAAAATAAACTGTTTCTATCAAGAAACACAAGAAAAACCGGGGGCAGGGGGGAACCCCCAAACAAACCATGTGCTGCAGCGTGGCCGCACCGACACTGCAGTAGAAGCTGCAGCAACACTTCTTGGACCCTAACATGCATTAATACAGAAGTCTCTATTGAAAATGTCAGAACTAGCACCATTCAATTAGCTTGGCATCGTCTTCTTGTTACAGTTCCCTTTGTACTCTGACAATGGGAAAAATGCCCGAGCAGAATTCGGCACATCTCTCTGCACAGTTCTCCACAGTCAAACCCTGCTGTTTGCAGAAGAGATTAAGGAAGGAAGAGAGAGTGTTGTTCAGCAAAAAGACTGCTCCCAACTGACTTTATACAAAGAATTATAATGAAAAGAAGATTTTCCAAGCACTGCAACTGTTCCACCCTGTAAGGCATAACATACATAAGCTTCCATGCCGCTGTAACTCCCTTCTGATGAAAGAGGATTTCTTGTAAAAAAGGACAGGCAGGGCTCTTTATGAGCCAGCATTTAGAAGTGCTTGCAACCACTACGCTCCATTTTAATTGCTGGAGAAAGTGGCAGCTAAGAAATACAGACAGCCACACAGAGTTGAGCAAATGTCTACTGAGTCCAGCATCTGCGTCCCTCAACATTGGTCTCAAAGAGCACAAGGTGTTCTTTGCTGGGTGGAAAGGCAGATATGAAGCGTGCAGTCTGAAAGCAGGTGGGGAAGGAGAAAATCCTGTATCTGTGCTGTCAGCACTGCTTTTCTTCTGGCTGGAAGAGCAAAAAAGCCACCAGCAGCTCTGCTATGATTAAGAGTGTTTGTGTTTTGCAGCTCTCCTAACAACTGGAGATCTCTTCAGGCAGCTTGGCACGCTCCGCAGCCTGTACTAGTTCATGCTTCTCTGTGGGGAGAAAGAAGTGGAGCAAGATTCTACTCTCTCGGCCGTTTTTCATCTAGAATGCAATTTGAATTATTGAAATTAAGTTAATTATGTTTACCAAGGAATAGCCTAAAGCAGTTTGAAGAATTATTATAGTGAAACAGTACAGTTGCAGCAAGGTGTTCAGAGCTGTTCCAGTCCGTGCTTGTTTTACAGTCACTCATCCATGAGAAAATTGCATCTTGAGCCTGCTTTACTGAATTTTCTGATTCAAGAAAGTTATTTGGGAAAATGAAGTGTGGGAAATAGAGAGTCTGCTGGTTGTTAGGTCCAGGCTAGCCGTATCTACTAACCATTCATATATGAGCAGAGAGCACAAGTAAAGTTCTGTGTTTCAAAACAAATTTCTTGAAAAACACTGCCTTTATTTAACACTCATCATATATTGGAAAACTGTAGTACGAGTTGTTAGGCCAGACAAATTCATTCCATGAATTACATACATATAGCACAGAGTCAGCTACAACTTATGTGAAACCCAAGTTCTGAGTCCAATCATCAGTGAAAAAATCAGTGTCTCAGTTATTTTATGCAGCTAACTCACTCCTTGAACAGCTCTGAAGGAAAGCTGTGATCCTACCTGAAAAGGAAAAACACAGCACATGCCTGCTGGCTGAATTATTAAAATTATATCCCTTAGGAGAGAAGATATTTTTGTTTTATAGTGTGCGTGTATATCTAAGCCAAATTCTCAAAAGCTGTAAAAGGATACAGGGGACTATAATGGAGTGTTCAGTATCTTTATTAGACTAAGCCAGATGTAGCCAAGTTTATAACACAGGTAACTTTTCCTCTCCTGTAAAAACAGAGAATGATACCTACCTACCTACAGGTATGATGCAAAAATTAACATACAATAATTATTTTTAATAGTGATTTATACTCAAAAAAGGCAACCCTGACTATGTGACGAGTTTGGTTTTAAAATCTCTTGCAGGTATACCTGCAGAAAACAACAACAACTCCTGTGAGGCTGGAACTGGGAGAAGCCCAGATCACTTGATAAAACTGAGTTTCAGAACAGAGTCATCTGCTTTCCATGCCACTACCCAATTCAGCTTTTATAAAAACAAAGAGGAGGGTAAAGGGAATGTATCCTGTGCTGCTGACCAGTTCAAACTTTACTGGGCTCCTCAAAGCCATCGTTGTCATTGTCTAGAAGAGTGTCATCCCGCACACTCAAAATTATGTTTTTTTTAATGCGTCTACTCTTTTTCTCTGTCAACTTCTATTCAAGAACTACGCTGCAATAAAATCTTGCAGAACGTGCAGTTTTGCTGCACTGTTTTGAAATTTGTTTAAAGCCAGACTGATTTCCTCTATATAAATCATCTTATATCTCTAGCATACCACTTTCAGTTCTTCTCTGTATTCAAGCCTTGATTTACATTAACACTGAAGATACCACCATTAAAGGAAAAAAAGTCAGTGTATGTTTATATTTATAAGAATCACACATAAGTACATATATCATGACTGTAAACCAAGACTACAATGTATATTACAAAGGAAGAGGAAAACCTCTGGACTTCTGAAAACATTGATATGGAGGACTCAAAGGCAGGCATAAATTAAAATGCACTTAAATTCTTAAAAGGCCCTCCCCCCAACAAGAAACAATAAACACCTCAGCACAATGGTCAATAAAAAAAGATATTAGAAGTTATAAAGACAGTGAAAATGTATCAGAATAATTCAATATCCTTAGATACATTTTTACTATAGTATTAAAAAAAAGGAATCTGGATTCCTATATGGAGTAAAGAAAGAAATTATTTCTAACAGGCTTAATTCATTCAATACTCTTAAAACTACTTGTTTTCATAAGGGCTAAGAGAGGTACTAGTTATCCCAGCTTTCTACTATATACAACTCCAACCGTGGAAGAGAGCCCACCACGAATCCTGTATTTCAAAGAGCTGAATACACATAAAGGATCGTCACCTCTGTGAAACTGGTTCTTCAGAAAAGAGCTTTCCCTCCACTGAAAACTGAAAGGACTGTGAAGAAGCAACTTACTTTTCTTGCAGAGTCAACTCAATCCATGGCAGGTAATAAATAAAAAGAAAACTATTTTTAAAACAAATGAAATTTCCTTTTCTACAAGTAGTATGTTAATATTCCAAACGTACCTTTGTTGCTAAAATCATCAATCAGCACAATTTCTGCCAAGTATTTCCTTGGTGTTCTCTTAATGACACTGTGGACTGTCCTCATGAGTGTGGACCATCCTTCATTATGGAAGACAATGACAACACTGGAGGTGAGCAGGTTATCATCATAGTGCCAGTATTTGCATCTGGAAAAAGATTTGATTTTATTAGTGTTCACATTATGATTTACAGAACTGCTTAACAACATCTTTGTTCAAACAAGATCTTCACTGGTGGCTATCCTTCAGATTAAGGAGAAACAGGATGTAAAAGGCAATATAGCTTAAGAGCATCACAGAGCTACAAGGCCCAAATAGCAGCTTGCAAGCCTTTTTCCTCCTGAAAGAGATAGGGTGAAGCTGGTGAACAATGACCACTGCCCTCAACAGCTACACGCTGTCTCGTGTGTGGGTGGATGGCATTGCACAGACCCCGCCGAGAGACATCCCTACCACCACCACCTTGCTGTTTGTGCGGCTGGTAGAGAAAAGGGGAAGAAAAGCCCCAAACTGTGGCTGCCACGGTGGGGGTCATCTTCAAACCATCAGATACCGTGATTTAGGATGGACCGTGCATTTGGCTCACCGACTGCATAAAATGCAATAACAAAGTGCTGGTTTTTTTCTAAGCATCTTTAAATCAGATTTACCCAGTAGAAGGGCTCTCTATGAAGCGTTTCTGTTGGCTTTATACAGTTCGCATGCAGAATCTGCATGATTAGCAAAGTTACAAACATTGTTGAACAAGGCAAAAGTCATTAATTTCTGCCCTTTCACAACAAAATAGATTTAAGCAAGTAAACTTGCTAGAAGTACAGCAGCAGCATGTGAAATGCTCATGTCAGCTGTTCTGCAAAAAACCATCTCCGTTTGCAAAAACTGTCAGAAAAGCATAGTTGCTTGTGGGAAAAATGTAATCCCATGGCAGACAAGATGTGATCTTTACTGTTTATTATTCATGGCTAAACTTCCAGGTATAGCAACTGTAGATTAAAAAAAAAAGTCACCAAACCCATTCAGCGTTCCAGCTTAGCATGCCATGAAAAGCACTTCTGTATCCATTTAAAACGTTTTGCCTTTCAATTTCACTGTGGACCTGGACTCGGGTCTTTTTTCCTGAGTTATTACAAATGATTTAGAAACAAGCAATGCGAGTAATTCAGTCCACACTTTTCAATACTGATTAATCACGTTTATCAACAATGCATTTAGTTTGCAACTGTAATGCCCATTTCCCCATTGGCATCCCCAAATGAGAGAGTTCAGTCTCCCTAATTACAACGAGTCCAGGTATTCCCTTACCTGGAAGCTTCCCTACCTGATCGCTAGCCCCTTTTCAAACTATAATAATACAATTCCTATCACCAGTCCCAGAGACATAGCGCTTTCAATTTCAATGGGCAAAAGACTTCCTTTTTTCATCTTTCAGCAAGTAAAGTCTCTATGAGAGAGAATCTGACTTTTCAAAAGCAACTAGGAGGTATTAAGAAATTATTCCTGACAAACGGAAACTTTTAAACTCATGGATGCATAAACTTTGGTAGTTATATTTCTCTATATACAGTAAAAAACTTAAATGCACACAAACATTCCTGTGTTTGAAAATAAATTACCTTAGTCATCAGAAATCACAACAGTTTCTGAAACTAAATTATGTCAAACATGGGAAGAACTCATGTAACAGATCTATAGGTATGTAAAGAGCATTTCTTTCGTCAAGAAGGAGGTATTTCACTTAGTTGCAAGGAACAGCATCAATATATGTATTTCCAACCCATCAGAAAAATAAAAGACATTAGTATAAACATATTATTCATTTTGATCCTGTGAGAAAAGAAAACTACAGGATCAAACCAGTCTATAAGTAAGACTGATACAATAAGGCATTTTTTTCTCTTACTCAGGCACGATCTCTACAGGTACAGTTTACTGCCTAAAATCCTCCAGCTCAATGGCTTTTATGCTTGAAGTATCCACAGCTGATCATATTTGTAAGCTACCAATACACAAGTGCTGGACTGACTGTTGCATGGTTCAGGCCACTGATGCCTTCCTTCCACAGATTCTTTTCAAAAGATTTCAGCTGATTGCAGATCGCAATACTTCAATTTGGAGCACAAGCATTTAAGCTGGCAACAACGCACCCAGCTATTTGCAGAGATAAAATGGCTACGCTACCTGTGTTAAGTTGGCTTGTAAAGAAAGATTTTTCCATCATGTATTTAACAACAGATTAATAACAGAACTGTGTTGGCTTACACATCTAGTCACCTGGATTAATTTTGCTGATACAGTTATGTTAAAATGGAAGAAAATGGGGCATCATGCATTCAAAATTGGCCAGCTGAATGTCAATCAAAGACCTCCACGTAGAAGGTAGCGGAAATTAATAGTACTTTTTTTGCCTCAAAGGAGAAGGCAGTATCTGATGCAGGTTGCACTGTGCCACTGACCTGCACCTTCAGAAGTTCAGCTAGGAAATGTTTTGGCTCTCCAATTAAAAAGACAGACAGCCACAACGTTTCAGGCTGCCTTCAACAACAGAAAGCAAGCAAACACTGCAAAACCACCCAAATCTTCTGCCTGTTTTTTCTCCCACTTTCTATAGTGTAGGTAAGTCACATTTAGGAACAAAGTGGTGAAGAGCATAAGAATGAAAGACAGTAAGTAACTTAACACATCTGTGAGCAATTTATAAGCATTTTTTGATCTGTATTTAATACATTTTTAAAACATAAAAGCAGAGGTCTAGACAGGCTTTTTGCTACATATCCAACTTAATCTCCTCAAATCTGTCAGCACTTGAAAAATCATGTGTTGCTCAATGTGCCATTTGCAAGCCATAAAAGCACTACATTTATACTTCTAGTAAGATCATACTTTTAGTTTTTTCCAGGGGCTTTATTTCACTTATTGGACAGTCCCCAGACTGACTCACCAAGCCCATAAGCTCCAACAGACTGCAGTAACTCGTATGTAAAAATTTGTCTCTTGTCTTGCATTGAGAATTAGAGGTTTGAAACACAGTAGTTGCTTTTGATATATGCAATTAATGCATGTTTTCACCTCTGTGGCAATCTTCCCAAGAAATTCAAACATTGCTCAATTATTTGTGCGACAAAAGTCAGGAGCCTCCGCTCTTGTTTCCTTCACTTCCATAGGGAAGGAAGCAGGGAAGAGCCTTTCTTCAGCGGAGCAGCACTGACATCCAGTGGTTGGCAAACCAAATACCAAGTAACCATAAACACATTTGCCTTGTGTTTGAAGCTGAATTTTACAGTACCGGTTTCCCTGTAAACGTTAGGCACCAGAAAGGGAAAAAAAATTAGGGCACCTGAATTTCCAGATCCATGCTTCACTTTTGAAAGATAGGATCAAGCAGATCTGGGCATCCAGGCATAAGCTGCAAGCTATTGGAAACTGGCATAGAGCACATTCAGGGTACAAAAGGGTCTGTGACAAAGAGAATTTAACTACGTTTCAGCCTCTAGCTTCATCCCCTGGGTGCTGTCCTGCCCACATACAGTAGCACTGTGCCCCTTCAGGGGTAGCCTGCAGGCCAGCTGTAGACCAAATTAGTAAACAAACTCATCTAAAAAAATTTACTTTGAATTCTTATTGGTATAGCTGAGCAGATGGCACATTGCAGCAGCTAGGCTGGAATAAGAGGGTAGCATCCTTAACCTAGCCTTGCCTCCAGACACTTCACATCACTTTTCCTGAGCCCTGTAAAGCGTTTTTATATGGGGCAAGAAGGAGCAGCATGCACAGATCTGTGAAGGGCTGGCAACACCTACCAGGGAACTCATGGGCAAAAGACAGCAACACCTCCAGATCAGTCCATGAATAAAACCTGCCTGCTCCCAAATCAGCAGTGGTGTTACTGAGCAAAAACATGGACTGACTCATCAGCACAGTGAGAAGAAACCTTTCAAAAGACACAGTAGTGATCTAACAGAGGAACAGAGTGAGTAACATGTCTTCTATTAGTCTGCATACTTACAATGCAAGTTAGTCCTCCTCCCTCTGAACCCCTGGGAGGGAACAGCACTGCTGGAGCCTCTGCCACACTAACGTCCCTGCCTCTCCATCACAAAGTCGTGCAGCAGCCACAGCAGGAGAGGAGCCCTTTTGCAGGGGACCCCGCTGCATGAGAAGCTGGAGATCTGGGCTGGAGCGCTCCTTGGCTTGAAGCAATTTCTGCTCTTACAGCTTTGTACCCTATTCATTGGCTTGCTCTTACTGGTGTCCCCTGGCCCCATAGAAGCGATGGTGTGTGCATGGTCCTTACAGCCTCTTTGTTAGCATCCACTGCAGTTGAAGACATAGGCTTGAGTTTCCTCAGGCTACAAAAAGCCCAGGCTAGAGGCTGCTTCTCCTGGAAGAGTAATCCAGCCATCAAGCAAAAATGCAAGAAGTGAACAAGGAGAGCACCTTGACAGCAATTTAAGGGCGAGCCCCAATCAGACAGATACTTAGAGGGCAATTTGAGATCTTGAGCCAGCGGAAGTGCTTCTCGTGTCATCCCAAATTCCTAACTTCCCCAGCCTACCAGCACCTAAGCTCCAGAGAATAGTAAGAGATACCAGAGAAAAGTAAGAGATACCGTGGCCACAACCAACTCTCCATCCTCATACTGTCTTCCTCAGGTCAACTACCTAAACTAGCACCTACATTTACTAAAGGCACATCAGTCCCCTCTCTGGGTTTTAAAGCACCACACTTGTGTGCTCAGACCAAAACGCCACAGCACGGATTTCTCCGAGACAGCAGGCAGCTGCCATCGCATTCCGGCAACCGCTCCAGCAGCCAGCTCCTAAAAAACTCGAGTCAGCTGTTCCAAGCTGAGAGCTCTGAATCAGGACAAAGCTGAAGGTCTCAGTTTAACATTTACCCTGAAATTGTAATTGACATAAAAAAATTGGCATCTCTTCTCCATTAAGATTTAAAATGGTTCACAATTTTAAGTTGTATTTTAAAATTCATTCCATGTTTAAAGTGGTATGAGATTCATAGCGATATCGATTATCACCTACTGATAATTGCTTTATAGTGCATGCAATTTCTCACCCTTTGAGGGGCTCTAGCACTAGCAGAGCCTAAAAATAAGTTAGGAGCTCTGTTTTCATTTGCAGTTTCCTTTTCTA